ACCACCATTAAAGGCATATGTTATTTCTGAGATACAGAAAAAAAAAAAAAGGCATAGAAATACAAGCATCAATATGTAAAGCACTTCTGATTTTTTACTTGCTAAGGGCACCAGCCAGTTAGTTATAACTAATGAGTGATTATTTATTTATTTGACCTACCTGGACATGTCATCTGCTTAGGAGCACCTGTGCCTGCTACCCTTGCACAAGGTCCTGCTCCTGTCCATCCCTCTAGCAGGTGACTGAGCACTGGATGTGTCACCCCCGCTGAGAGCCCCATGGGATCCCATTTACATTATTATTAACTATACAACATGCTACACATATGTGGTGCTTCTCATACCAAACACTCCTTACCTTAATACGAGGAGTGCAAAGGTAATGAAAGGGAAGGTGCTGTACTCATGATCTGAACTTACCAAAGTGATTTTTTCAGAGAGTCCCAGACCAGCAAGCATTCAAAAGATCAGTCAGGCAATATCACATTGCCTTTATCCCTGGAAGTGGCTATGTAAAAATCTTTGACAACACAGAATTTGCCTCTGCCTTTTTCTGTTATAGGCTTTTTTTTTTTTTTTTTCTCCATTGGCGGCAATTTCCACTGGAAAGAGTAAAGCAATAGTTTTACATAGGAACTAATAGCATTTGAAGAAAAAGTATTTTGGAAAAGTATTTTGACCGCACCTTCCTAACACATTTTAGGAGCATTTTTTAAGATGTTGCAACAACACCTGCTCCTCAGCAGAGCTCTTGCTCAGTCTTTCCCATTTATTGATGTACCTGATATGTTCAGACGGCAGGCAGAGCCTCCCAGATGGGATCGGAATTTCCTTAGATACACAGAACAGGATACATAGAATCTTTTCTCCTTTCTGTTAGAAGCCTTTGTAATTACTCAGTAATTAGCTGTGAATTACTAATTAACTAATCAAAAAGTCAGAGTTCTTTCTAGAACAGTTTCTACTATTTTTAAATCTTTTTTCTTTGGGGGAGGGGAAATGAGAAATAAATGTAATATATATTAAATTTACTTTTTTTTTTTTGCTGATAAAGAAAACATCCAGTGACTACTTGGCTGATTCATAGCAAAAAAAAAAAAAAAAATATATATATATATTTGTGAGTATTCCTCTGTTAGCAGCAATGTGAAGACTTATTTTGAAATCCTCAGGTAAACTCCCTGCTTGTTTTATACACGAGTAGTTGATTAAAATAGGGCTGCTTGAATGAATAAGCAATTAGGATCTGATTACATTCAGGTAAACTGTAGTAGGCTTCCTCTTAAAGAATTAATAACTGTTTCTCAGCTGATGTCTTAACTGCTCTCAGAAGGTGATCATCAAGGTCTCTTACCCCACAGCCACACTCTGCAATTCTTTCCTCAGTACTGCAGGTCTGATTTTTAGCAGATTCCAAAAACTCATTTTTTATAGAATAATCTCTAATAGTGGTCACAGTTCCTTACTCATATAATAATGATCATGCAAATATGTTTTAGTTTATGCTAAAGACAGGCTCGTTTAAATGAGGAAACTAACGTTCACTTACTCCGGTGTGACTGAAGCCTGCTGCAACGTTTCTAAATGCGGCTCTGCTCTCACCACAGACCCAAGCTCTTCTCAAGGCAAGAAGCGACACTTTTATGTTTGCTCTGTGACAACAGCACTCTAATGATGGTCTCAATTCTGCTGTACATTTAGCTGCCCTAAGAGCTGTATTTTTCTTAGCTAGCCGTTACTGGAGTATCGTCCTATACAGCGTGCATGCATTGCACAAACAACTGCAGGAGCTTCTGCTCATTTTTGTGTTAGAAAAATGGTTTCTTGTTTATTTTAAATCATTACGAGGTGGGGGAAGGAATTCTGAGGGAAGAAATGTTTAGCAGACAGAGGCTACTTTAATACATGGTATGGGCAAGTGTTTCCTACTATGCAGGGCTGGATGCTCATCCCAGCTCTCAGCTGCTTCCCAATTCTATTATGGAGCAAGACAAAAGTGCATGCAAGCCTGCCCCATAAGACAGCTTTCACATAGGGGAAATTAGGGCATGCACACTGCACAGGAGCTTCAATTCAACCTATAGCCCGTCTGAATGGCAAACCAAACTCAGACCATGAAGCAGCACACACTAACTGTGTAAATGAAGTTTTGTCTTCCGTAACTCATACATTTGGATCCTGTAGAGCACAAAAACACTCGCCTAACTTCAAAGGGATGTAAAGGCACATCAGTATGTGAACAGAAAGAACTGAACTGCACAGTTAAATTATTTAGTAAGCAAGGGCTTTAGTACTTAGTATAAAAGAACACACACATATTGCCAATAAGGAAACGTATTCTTCTACAGTAATACTAGATAGAACACTCAAGTCAAAATTGGTTAAAGACAGAACAGTAACATCTTACAACAGAATGTGGACTACATTGCAAATTTAGGCCTATGCCTTGTAAAATACAATCTGACTCACGGGGACTTGTATGTTCTCCCTCATTTCTCTTTTAGAATTATGTTTTAGTTTAATCAGTATTATGCTTTTAGAGATTTGCGGTTATGCATGCTTTATTTTAAGAATGAAACATATTTTACAACCAATTTATCATCATTTGACAAGTCTTAACTATTGTAAAAATTTTATCAGACTTAAAAACTGCCTTGCATGTGAACACAACTCTTGCTTACCGGGGAAAAGTACTATTCACACAAGTCTGTCCAGCCCAACTGCACTTTCATAGTAGCTTTCTTTTACCCCAAAGACTTTCTAAATACAAGTCAACTCGACTGATGTTCTCCCTTTCGGCTTCTCTTCCCACAAGGGAGCTATAGATTTTCCAGGGCTGCCCTGTACAATGTGTGTGGAACAATCTTCCTAGCCCTGTGTGCCTAGCATTCTTCAAATCCTCCATTACAATTCTTTTATTAGCTTTCCATCTATCCAGCCATCCATCTGAACTGAAAAGATGCATATGGATATAGCAATAAATCTAGCTCACTGTCTCTTGCTACTACAGCCCTTCATCCATCCATGCTCCTTCCCCCATCTAGATTTCATCTTGTGCTATGTTAGCCTATAACTGTTTTTAAACTCCAGGGACAAGAAGCAGCCATCAAAAAAAAAACACCCAAAAAACCTATTGGTATATAATAGCAGTGCCTGTAGGTTTCAGTGTCTTTGGATACTTCTTTTGCAAGGCAGTATACTATCAGCCTCAAAACCTTACAAGAAAGTCAGTCAAGACAGTGAACAGCAAAATGTTACTGTTCTCCTTTTTCAAACAGGAAGGTGAAGGTTCAAGTCACACAAGAAATTTATAATATATACACAGAGAGAGATAGACAGATATTTGTCTGGGATCATAAGCATGGCTTCTTCACGAACACTTACAGCACTAGAGTAAGCAGTGAAAGCTTAAGCTGTATTAAAAATAAAGCAGAAAGATGCATTTGCAGTAGAAAATAAAATGGATAAAATGGACAAGAGATGATACCCTGGCATCCCTACTAACAGGAACAAGAAACCAGTGAGCAAGAGAAAGAACACTGGTGTGGGAATTTTCTCTCTGTCCTTAAAGGGTTGAAGTCAATGATGACAGAATATATATGCCATGAACGTATAAAATATAAATCTATATGTACAAATATACAATAGGAAGTATTCCGTATACAAATACTTACACGTAAAAATAGCTTTTTCCTTTCTCCTCTTCATGATTTACAAAAGCATACAAAGTTTCCTGTTGGTTAATGTTTAAGTAGTGTGAGTAAACCTGTGTGTCTTGTTCCACACATACTTCTTTCAAATTTTCACAGTATTGGCTACTACAGTGTTGAATCCGATATTCCAGGTGTTAAAATATTCTTGGGACACATTCTAAACTTAAAGCATCTTAAGCAGTAAGTTAAACACAGTTTAAATAAACCTCGCATGTTTAGTTGATTTATGGACCTATTATAGATGAGTCTGCTGCAGTTGAAAATCTTTGATGAGAGGAAACTTGGAACCACATTTTTCAACTACAGACAAACATACTTTAAAATTCTTGACCTTGCCTCTCGAGGTGCAGATGAGGCTGTGAGGTGGCGAGTTCTTTCAACTCCATCTGAAGCAGTGCAATCTGAGAGAACTCAGTATTACAGATTATCCTCAGTAGGAAAGAGGTCACACAGAACAATCTGCCAACAGATTCGGACATGCCATCACTTTCTTCAAATACCCAACAGACAAGAACATATGACAAGTACCATTTTGCATTAAGAATAAATGCTGTGTAGCATTCTTTTCATCAGCAAAGTGCTTTATGGACTTAAATTAATCCTCACATCTCCTTTGTGAGGTAGGTAGATACTATCCCTGTTTTTAAAGATGGAGAAACTGGGAGAGGTAAAATAAGTTATGATGGCTGCAAGGGAAATACTGTCAAAACTTTTAGAGTTTTAGAGTTTGGTTTTTGGAGCTCTAAGCAACTCAAAGTCATGACTGCAGTGAGTGAGATGTTCATGAGACAGCTTTACACTAACTTGGGCACAGGTAGTAGTTCAGTTGTAATAACCAAAGGTTTAATTTGGGCTGCAAAACATTGCTGGTGCTAAGTACCATGCTGCTGCAGCTTCACTGAGGCACAACAGCCTGAAAAAGCACAAAACGCATCATCCACTGCAGTGCAGCCTGACCAGCCTGAAAGGAAGCTGCATTTTATAAACTTTGAATTACTCAAGAGCCTTGACCAAAACATAACTTTTCATATCCATCAGTTGTGTGCAATTCAGGAATCATGTTCAGCCCATTTGGAACTCTATCCTATACATACATGCTCACAGGAGGTATCCATGTCTTTAGGACATGGAGTGAGTACTCCGAATGTACTCACTCATATGTGCTCAAGACAAGTAGACCTAAGAGGTCTGTATATTTTCTCATATTTCCTTTGTGGAAATTTGCTGCTAATACTGCAAATCTAAGTAGTACTGCAGTACTATCAGTACTGCAAATGCTAATTTTAATTAACTAAGTCAACAGACAAATTTTAAAGGACTGCCTTGTTCTCTGTGTGTGCATGTGCACCTGTATATACTGGAAATTGCAGCTGTCTAACTGCTCTGGTTTTGCTGTAGTATCCAGTTACAATATAAAGTGCATTATGTAGAGTAAAACCCTAAGAAACAACAAGCAACTTGTCTTGCTTCCACAGATAGATTAATTTTGCTTAACAGCTGAACCATCACCCTCTTTGTCTTCTAGATTTTAGTTTAGCATTACCTAGGCTGAGAAAGTCCAGTCAGATGTAAGCAAAATTATTGTAAACCGAGACATTTTTGTAATATTATGCTATTAAAGGGGAGTTAAGAAAACTAGCATCAAGACACTGTCCAGTTGGGGTGCGTAAATATTATTGTGTGCTTCTTGGCCCATTTAGCAAATACTTTCTTTTCTGTGATGAATCTATGGCCTCCATATGGAGCATTTTCATGCAGAAAGTACTCCTCACACTCATCTCTTCCTGGCTCATAATAATGGTAGGGAACTTTTCGAAAGCCTTCAGACCTAGGGGGAAAAAAAAAAAAGTTACGTATTATTTCTAAGAAAAAGGTTAACATACACTGCATTTGATTTCACTGAAATTCTTTTCATGTGTTGGCACCTGAGCTCCTTTGCCAAACTGCGAAATGGCTTTCATTACAGCAAGATTTGTATGCATTTTTTCTACAGAAAATGCAGCTAAGTGTGCCTCTTGACATCCACTGATCTCATCCTTCAGCAAGAAGCTGAGGGCAGGCTCTTAGATATACTGCACACCTATAGGTACATTTTGTGTAACCTGGGGCAACCCTTAGTCCATAACGCTCTATCTCTATGCAATGTCTTCTCATTGGATAGTCTTAACTCTTGAAACTGGTTCTTGGGCTGGCTGAATAGGGCAGTTTGAATAATATACATTATGAAGAGGTTATGCAGTCAGAATTGCAGCTTTAAGCAGCCCATCCTTTTCCGCTGTCAACAGACTGAAGTGTGATCATGCCACTAACTGATTTTACATCAGGGCTGTGTAATGGCAGCTCTGCTGAACTCTGCGAGGACAACATCAGCCCTGTCACCCCTCGTCTCACGGTGCCTACTGTGTTTTCATAAACAAAGAACAACATATGTTCATTCCATCTGGATGATTCACCCATTCTGTGGGATCTGCAAGTTCTAAAAAGTCAGTCTCTAATGTTAAAATACCCTAATTAAACAGCTGTGCTTAAAAATCTGACTCGGTTCCTTTCTTGTTGTCACACAAGGATCAAATCCCATACTGGGATGACACAGAATATGGGGCAGGGGTTCTGTAAGATTTACTCTGGGAGCTGAGGAATCCTGTCAATGGTTACATGAAAGGCCTGAACCAGTCTGGGTACAGAAAAACAGACTTGCAGGGCTATTGCATATTGTTTATGGCATTCCCTGCTTTGGTGACTGAGGAATATGCTCATTTTATAGCTTGCTTCTTTATACTGTAGATTAAAGTTTTTAACTTGGTCTTTTTAAAATTGTGTTTAGAGTTATACTTCTGACAATAGGATTAATCCAGTGTCACTGTAAGGTCACTAACAGTATTTGGTTGGAATTTATGTCAGTTTACTCTGATAAAGCTTGCAAGTCTTGTTTTATTATCTAATTAGAAATCCCCTACTACTCAAAACAAGCCATATATAACCCAGAAAGTTCAGGTAGGTTGCTCAATGGTGGTGAAATGTAATTTCAGGTAACTATCCCGAGCTAATCACTTTCTTTCACTTCCAAGTGTACTTGGCATTCAGAGAACTAATACATTAGTATTTCCTCTATAGATTTGTTTTAGCTGTAAAAGTAAGTACATTTTGCCAAAAGAGTATGAAAGTATTCATCTCTAGCCAACTCAGAAACTGCAAAAGATCTTTGATTAAAAATAGTTCCCTATAACATCTCGTAGATTTGGTAAATGCTTTTATTTTATCAAGAGCCAATGCTGTATCAGGGCTAAATATGCTGACAACAGAGTGTCGCATTAGCTCAAAACATTGGGAACTGGCTGCCTGAACCATTTCTTGGATTTATGATATTAAAATCAATTGTGAAATTTTGACAAGACATCAGAATTGCAGAGGCATGAAAATAATTTCCTGTGATCTTACTTGCAGTAGGTGTCATTTATCATCCCATAGACGTGAATTCCATAGCAGGCATCCATAGCCAAAATTAAGGTAAACCAGCCCGTACTGAGATATGAACCTGACTGGACTCTGTAAAATATAACATACACAAAACAAATTGCAATGAGAAATTACCAACACTTTATCAAAGATATATAATCTATTACCTGGGACAAAAGACATTAGGCAGCTTGACAATCTGTCAAAACCGTACAATTACTTTGAATTATTTATAGATAGGCTCTCATTCTTGCCAGCTTGGGACCTCAAGCAATTGTCCACAGAAAATATAACATGTGAAATATCTGAAGTCCAACAATACATGTCCTTTAATACAGAAAATTATTTGTACACATAAAAAATAGACATTAGTAGAGTGTGTAAAATGAGCAATTCAGAAACTTATCAAGAAATCAAACTAATCAGAAATTAAACTTTAAGCAGCATATGAGCTGTGTGCATGTCACCATACCCTCTCACAAGCAAAAACTGAATTTTCAGTGCATTTTCTAATTGAATTTTTTTTTTTTTAGGGAAAATACGGTTTGTCACAACTACCTCATTCTCCAGAGCGTTTTTCTATATAAAATAATACTAAAAAGAATCTGAGTTACATCTTCTCTTCCTTGTCCATGTCCATGAGCTTCCTTCAGGCATTAGAGGATGTGGACTTCTATAGCTACCTTTCCTGGAAAGTTTTTACCCTGGGGAAACTCCTAAGTACCACTGATCTGCCTTTGCAGATTAAAGGATCATTCTGGAAGCTAGAAATGGAGTGCTAACTTAGTGCTGAAGAATGACTCTTTGGAACAAAAGGCAAAGTGGACACCAATTGTAATTGTCCCTCTTTAGCTGACACCTTCTTAGATGTGAAAAGGTACATCTCTTCTTGTTCTTTAAGATTTCCATTTCCTCAAAGAGTATTTTGCCTGCTATCTAGCAAAGAGAATTCCCAATCCAACTGATGATATTTCAGAGAAACATTCTGCCATGTTAAAAAGCTGAATTGCTTCTAGCTTGCTTTTTGCTCTTGCAGCAGCAGAAGCCTTGAGCCTGTAAAGCTAACCATTTAGAATCATAATAACCAGTTATAAGAACACTGTGAAGATCAGGACCCTTCCAATAATGGAGCTTTATTGGAGAGCACTATATTGACAGTAGCATCTGAAATTTGCTATACTCAGGAGTAAAAAGGAATTTTAAAAAAAGAATTAATCAATATTTCATGTCTTGTTTTAACACCATTGAACCTTAGTCCTCTCATCTATATACTACACTGGCAGGATAAATAAAAACAGCAGAGTGAGTTCCCAGATACTTTCCCTGGGAGAAGAAAAACGTGACAGAATACAGATTATACACTTTAAAACAAAACACCAATATTCCTCCCATTTTTTTCTTCTGAAGATATATAGGAATATGAAAGAATACAGTTATACAGTGGGGATACTGGATGATTTGGTAACACCTTGGAATTCAATCTGACATTGTAAACATACTTTCGACATTCTAATGAAAGCAATATTAGAAGTACAAAAACAATTTTAGCTGTTCCTAAAAAGTCATAAATCTCTGAACACCTTTTAAAATATCATCCCATAAAACTACAGTGCAGGGCAATATCTTTACTCTTGCTATTATGCTAAAACTGTGCACTCAATTTCTTTCTCTATAGGAGAGTTTTACATGTTTTTGGCAAGGGATTTCTGAGACTCATTTGGAAGAATTCCTCCTGTTACGCCAATCATATTCAAATTCCAAATTGCATGCACTAAAATAATCTGCCATTTACGTGTAGCATAAGCCTATGCTTTTGTACAAATAGGAGGAAAGGAGAACATTAATTCTAAAATAGGGACAATACGAGTATAAGCATGCTTTGTGAAAACACTGAAGGTAAATCTATTGAGATATATGCATAGACAGCAAATCCAAAATTGTTCCCTATGGCTCAGAGTGATGTTTTCTTATGCCTCAAAATTAATGGGATACCAGATCTAGTCAGGAAATTGTCTCAACAACTCAAGAGAAAATAATGCAGTATTTTTCAAAAAACGTATTTAGAAAGGACATGGCTTTGCTTTCAAGTCATGAGCTACAGCTGGCTTCAGCAATAAAAAGGAAAGGTTCCCCAGAAGTTACTTTGTTCATCATGAAAATGAAAGCTTATTTTGTGTACTACTTCCTCTGTTATATGGGTTCTTAAAGAAATGTGAACTACTGGAATATAATTCATTCTGCTAAGCATCATTCAGAATTTCAGAAAAGTGCATGGGCATATACTTGCCATTAAACACATGGATAGATCAATGGAATCAATTTAATTATGTGCTTGAAACAAAGTATATGCTTGCTTATTTTGCAAGCTTCTTCACAGAGAAGTGAAGTTTTATATGCTTATAATGTCATTATTTTATCTCAGAATATTAAAAATAAGATCAAAGATTAAAAGTTATTTGAATTTTCAAGTTTCAAAACATTGAATTTGCATTTTAGTGCTTCTTTCCATAAACCCCAGTAGAAAAAAATGACTACACTTCCTCACAATGCCTTAAAGAGAGGATATTTCCCTCCCTATTATAGAAGTAAATGGTAAAAAACATGTCTAGAATTGCTGTAATTGCAATGCGTGATATAGAATACCTTACATTCATTCTGATTATTTAAAAATAAAACCTATTAGTCTGGGTTCTTTTGCCTTAACTTTCCATTATTCCACGAAAGCCACGTGAAATTGATAAAAGTAGATGAAATAGAGAATGCTCCCTATGAAAGTTTTGGAGATCAAAATTCATCTTCTTTGACATCTCTAACTATGCTGTGATGTAGGCTGAACAAAGGAAAAATTGATTCCTTCTCTCATGAAGGGAAAAGAGGTGCATCCTTTTTTTTTTTTTTTAAATGATCAAAGGCAGGTGAGTTCACATTGGGTAAATGTTTTGTTGTCACTTGAGTTCTGATTTTAATATAAAATTTCAGGAAGCTATTTTCTTCATTCATTCATTCATTCCATGATTTTTTATATGCACAATCAATTCTGGTTTTATGGTTCAGTGTACTGTAATTTCCAGTAGGGACTTCAGTAGTAAAAAAAAAAAAAAAAAAAGAAAGAAAAAAAAAAAAGGTTGCTATGCAAACAACTGCAGCTTGACTGATCCCTTGCTTCATAAATAAATAAATATAAATAAGGGTATTGGTCTAACCAAACTGCAAGTTCTGTGATCCACGGGGACTTCATAACATCAGAGGTTCCTCCAATGTGCTAAAAGACTTGTAAAAACACTAGGAAATGAACAGAATGATTTTCAAGAACTACATCAATGTTAGCTTGGTACTTGTCCTTGGTACTTTTGGCTTTGCACCTGTAGTGCACCAAGATCCCTCCACCTTTGGGGAGATGTCAATGTATTCAAGTTTTGCATGGTTCTGTGACACTCATCCCGTATCAACCTCATCTCTGACCCTCACGAATGTATCTGTTAGCACAAATTGGTGATCCAGCAATTCCAAAACCAGTCAGATTAGCTCTACCATTCTACTTATATTGACTGAGATTTCTTTTTTTGTCTAAAGGAACATCTCTAAATTTAGCTGCTGAACAGCTCTTTTTGCTTTCCAAGTTAAACACCTATGTTCGGCAAGTCACAGGTTTGGGTTATACCTTCCTCTCCACATCAAAGGTAGATTTATAAATGAGAGACTAGTGCAAGTTGACAAAAATGCCCCCATCTCTGAGGAAAAGACAAAGCCTGTGCACTCCCTTTGCACCTCTCCCTTCAGGAGGATATTTACTTCTCATGCCAGAAATCTGTTTTCCAGGGAGGAAAAAAAGGAAGTATATCTGGTACAAGAGAGAGATAAGATGCAAAATGCTGAAGAACTAGGCTAGATTTAATTCTGTTTTCTGCAAAACCCAGTACTTTGTTGCTAATAATTTCATTATATTCTTTCTGCAGAAAAAAAGCGTAAGAAGAGCCATGAATAAGACACAAGCACAGAGAATCGATTTCATCTGGTAAAAATCTTTGCTATTTCTGCACTATAGAGATACCCTAAAGGCAGTTGTTTATCATAATCATTCCCTCTCTGGTGCGTATGTACATGCACGTGTGTGCCTGTCTTGCATTCCACAGCGATACAGGACAGCCAGCAGTGAACACCCATGCCCCTCTAGCAGCCAGCAGCCTGATTCACACATTCAAAGCCCCACACGGTGCTTCAGGTCATTCAGAAAAGTTAATTGTTTATGTGAGGACAGGTGTTATTATGCAGCATACATGGTTTTATGCAAAGCTTAAACAAGTGGAAGGCACCGGGAGCAGCGCAGAGCACGTTCTTGATGCCGACAGTGACTGTGTTCGACAAGATGCACCTGGGAGAGGACATGAGGCACTCCTGCCACCCCACTCATGCACTGAGTTTGCGTTCGGCAGATCATCCTTTCGGTGAACCCTGAAAATAAATTGCACACGTGCAATTGATCTCCAGGAAATACAGGTTTTCTGTCTAAATTAGTGTTGCACTGATACATCACAGAGAAGGAGAGTCCTCTTCCATTGCGCTTGGCACAAACTCACAGTAAAAGGCTACTCCTGGGCCAAGAACTAGCCCATGAGAATCTCTCCTCCCACTCTAATTTAAAAAGAGATGCAAAAATTATGAAAGTCCAATGTCAAAGCAGCCTTGAAGAAAGGAAAGGACGCTGCCAGATGATCACAGAAGGGAATACAAAAATGATGGCTTTGTATTTGACTGCATCTACTTAAAGAAATTCAGCTATCTGACTTACTATTTACAATTTTTGGCAAGAAATGTAAAAACAGTGTTAGGAATATAGAAGAATGTGTCAGTGCAATTACTGAAATCAATACTATATCTGCTTCGGTATGTAATTTAGGGATATAATTCCAATCCTCATGTTAAGCATAGTTTTTATATTTCCTTCCTCTTTCTCTGCTCTATTCAATAAAGGCACAGAAACCTGGAACAAAGGTGGGGGGAGAGGGAAAAACAGCTTAAAGAAATTGACTTCTGCTACCAAAGCTTCTGTCGTTCCCTTATTTCTGATTCCTTGACCTGACTTTGATGCA